TGTTTCCACCTCAACTAAAAAATAAATATTAAAAAAAGAGAGAGAGAGAGAGAATTAAATGGGAGGAAGAAGTTGCTCACTTCTTCTAAGAGCTAAGAGCTGATCCTGAGAACTCTTGTGAATAATGGCCACAATTTTTAATCCTGCAGTCTTCCTTGAAGATAAATACGTTCCTGCACATCCATGTCTGGTTATTATGCAAATAGGCGATTCAGCTTGTGAGTCATGAATTCCCACTGGTTTCTTGCTGGGAGGTAAATCCTGGTTTGACATAGAAATTGATGGAGACACGGAATTTCCCTCACGGTAGCCCCTCCCTCTCCTCTTGCGTAATCCCTGAACACTCCCCCACCACCTGCAAAGACTCTTTTCTTCTTTCTGCTACTAAGATACTCCCCAGAGGCTTTCTTAGATGTCCTCCCTCCAGCCCTCTCCTAGGTTTGGCCTCCTGAGTCTGATGGCCTCCAAACATGCTTGTCTGCCTCTGTTCAAGTTTTGAGTCTAGAAATCCCAGTTATGGGGCTACTCCCAGGGTGCGCTGATCATGGAGAGTCAGAGCATGGCTTTTGTCTGGGTCTAAGTAATGTCTTTTGAACATCCCCAACCCAGATCATGACTTTTCTTCTGAGAAGGGGATGAGAATGGCATGTATTGAATTTGTTATAAAGGAAACTGCTCTGCTATTGGTACAAGTGCCCGTGCTCAGCTTTCTTTTTAAATTCTGTCTTACATTCAGCCCATCTTCTTCAGTTGATGGAATTTCTTGGATGCTGGTCCTCATCATCTACTTGGGTCATTAACAAATGTCTCCTATAGTTTTATGGAATCCACCATTAAAAAGAGAAGGTCCTGTGGCCCCCTGGGCCAGGGGAACTCAGGTCTGCTTTCCACCCTCCTCTGCAGTCCTATCCTCCCCTCCTTGCTCTCGCTGTCCTGTTATTGTCATAAATCACAAGCACATTAGTGCAAGGATGAAGGTCTTTTGAACCGCAAGCCCCTGCTGTCTTCCCCATGATCCTCTGTGCCATCCAGAGCCCTTTCCATGTGAGGAGCCCTCGTTCTCCAGGACCTCACCACGGCTCTGTCAGATACCTTGCTGAATGAATCCCAGATACATTTTTAATTCTTTTGGTCTCTTTTGTATTTCCTGAACCTTGGTTTGTGTGTAACCTGCTACATCACACAATCCTGGCTTCAAATCCTGGCTCCGGCACCTGCAAGGTGAGGCTTCATTACCTGTGGAGATAATCCTTCCTGATTGGAATAGGGATAAATACTTGCCTACATATTCCATCTGTCCATAATGCTGTTCCCATCTATTGTCTCTGCTTAATAATGACCCTTCAGGGCCAACCTGAAATGTCCTATTCAGCTTGAAGTGCTCCCTTATCAACTCAGCCAGAACTCTCTTCTTTGCTGTCTTACTGGGCTGGGCCACTTCTGTGACACTCAATCTGCTCTGTGTGTTGCTTACTCCTGGAGGGAGGGCAGGGATACCATTTAATCTGCATTACATTTGCATTCCCCCAGCCTTTCCACAACCCTGATGCTAAATATTTATAAGCGTTTGAGGAATCCTCCCTTGCCTTCGTGACTCTGCTATTTTTCTGTTTGGCAGCACGTCTCAAATCCTATACCTCCTTCAAAATACAGCAACTGACATAGATGCACAAATCATCCTGTAGTTACTTAAGTCTCTCGTGTGTGTAGTCTGACTATACGGCTTTCTTGACTCTCATGTTTATAGTCTGGTTTCTAAGATATATGTGGTTTAATACCAGTCTGTAGTTTATATGGCCTGTCTTAAGGTAGAAAGTACACCTGCTAATTTCTCTTGCATCTTTCCTAGTATTGCAGTTTGTTGGCACTTACATCACGACTTGGTGTGGGAAGCCTGGGAGTCTTCTGGCCCCAGTCTGATGCAGAAGGTAGGGAACACCTAAGCGCAGGTATGCTTACCACAGATCCTTGTATGTGCAGGGCTCCAAATCAACCTGTGTGTGCAATGGCTGGGAATCCAATACCTTTAAGGAAATCTTCATGATTTTCAGATTATGAAATTTTTGGAGAAAATATTTTACTTATTGACTTAAATTCACTCCGTTTTTTTTCTATAGCAGCAGGGAGTTATTGTTATGACCATACATCTACTCTCCTTCTTTGAATAATAAATGGATGATTCTCTATGGTCATGGGAAGTCACTTTGAAGGAAGATTCTTGTCATAAGGAGATTTAGCATCCTTGGACTGTAAGATGACTTTGTAACAAAATGACTCTAATTAAAATCATCTGGTATTGCTTAAACTTTATTTCAGAATGTAAGGGTAAAAACAGGAAAGTCAGGAAGAGCAATGCTGCTATAATTTGACCTGAGCATGCTTCAAGAAAGATACTATCTTGACAGTCTTCCAACAAAAATGACGAGCAAACTCACGTGATCCCGGTCAAGTGGCACCATTTAAAAATCAGGTTGGGGTTAACCTGAATTTTAACCTAATGAGAAAAGTGTTTTTTACATTGTCCTGTGAAAGTAAAGTCATGGCTGTTCTATTAAAAAAAAAAGTAGATTAAGTATCATACATTAATTACCATTCTGAAAGAAAGAATTATCATTGTGGTCCAAGTTTGGTGAATGAAAATGAGTTATTTTTTCCAACACTTTTGATGGTGGCACTACGGTACATTCATAGAAGGTATTGAAACTGTCCCCATAATGCTTGTCACCTGCTTTACCAAAAACTATCAGTGAACCTGGCTGTCATTGTATTCCACTTGTCCAGTACTCTGGGTCTTGCACAAAACACAAAAGAACAGAAGTCAAAGGAAGCCTCCCTAGCTCTCTAATTACATGACTTTCAAATGATTTGCATTTGGGAGTATCAAATGAACAGTGCTCCTTGGGAAAAATGACTGGAGAAACTGTTCAGAAGTTAAATATTCTCTTATCTATTTTGTGTAAGTGATTATTTCAAAATAAAATGGTTCAGACGTTGGCAAAATTTATTATCCAGCTGAGTATTTTGAGTATAGATAGTCCTAGATCCTAGACTGATAATGGGATTACTTCCCAATAAACTCATCATAAGTTAAAAATATTGGAAGTTTGCAAATGCACTTCTTGCGCCTAATCACAAACACCCCAGCCTAGCAACCCACACACACGGAGAATCTGTTTGTGTCAGTCTTATGATCCTGGAGCTCATTGAGAGCTGTAGTCACTGCCATTGTCCAGCATTGGAAGAGAGGGTCACACCACATATCACACCAGCCTGGGAGAACATCCTCATTCCCGGTAATCTCTACAGAACACACTCTGCTTTTCCACCAGTATAAAGCTGAATCTTAAATCAGATCATCATGCCACATTTAAGCATGAAAGCCACTTATATCGATGGTATGTACATAATGCGATAAATCTCGAAACATCCAGTATACAAAATAAGACTAAGGTTTGTGAGAGCATTATCAAGTTTTCAAGGGAATAGGCAGTGTATCAAAATGTCTAATCCATGGTTGAATATAGGAATTCCACAAAGTAAGAAAGTTCTAGACAAACTAAAAAGTTTCAAAGCTTAATTCTGAGCATTACTTTTAAAGGGAGAGAACTCATGAATACTTATACAATATAATTATGGAGTTAGGCATATTTATTATACTGCTTCAAAAACTCAGGCAATAAAAGTATAATACAAGGTCAGGGCAGGAAGCTAAAACTTACTAATTTTGAGAAACGGGACAGATAATGGGCCTCAATGCCAAAAATCATATTGTCAGGGTAATGAACCTCCTCTGGTTGAAGTTCCAGGATTTGTTTCAAATCTCTCAGAAGATAAAATATATTATTTTTTTGAGGATTTTGTCAACTAATCTATGGAATTGTGTCCACGTGAGTTGAAGCGTGCATTTAAAGCATTCCTGTCAGCCTGCTGGGCCTGCAGTGTGTCCTAGAGAGACTAATGTGGATTAGCACGAACACCAGGTGGCTAGCAGTGTGACTTCACACTCCCTAGTCCATTCCCCACATGCTGAAGTCTCATCATCTTCACGTCCCTGGTCTCCATGACACAGGCCTTTGAAAACATGCACACATTACCAGAAATATTCAAATTCCAACAGCAAACTGTTTTGAAAAATACACCTGGCACCCGTGATCCTTGGTAATAATGCACATCACAGAGATGGAAACTTTGTCCGCCTATTTGTGAAGGAGTGGCAGTTAAACCTCTGGAGATGGGAAGTGATCGTTTCTAAAGAGAAACACTTAACTTAGAATTCCGAATTCCTTCTTCTATAAATCCTGGACCCTCTGAGTTTCATTCCTGGACAGACCTCTCTGTGTAACCAGTGGGAATGAGTGGAACAAATGCTCGCGGCACATGAGCAGACCTGGGGTTGGCGTCTGGAGGACCTGTTTTGTAGGTGTCATCCGAGCCCAGCCCTCAGGACCGCTGTCTTCTAACGTATTTCACATTTACCAGCCCTGTGCAAGTCCACCTTTAGGAGCTTTGCCCACTTGAGCCGTGTGCTGTATGTACTTACAGAAAGTGTTCTTAAATGTCTGCTCAGGAGAAACGAAGCAACTGCAAACTTACTGCGAACATAAACAAGTGGCAACGTAAACAAGTCTGGGCTGTCGACCTGTGGTAGTTTCACATGGTGGAGGGGCTACTAGGGCCCCCACTTGCTTCTCAGGCCAAGGTGGAGGGACGTGGGAAGGAGGGAAACTGGGGTAGAAGCAGCACGGGGCACTGAGCCCTGGCTGCTGGGAAGAAGGCACAACTCAAGCCAGGGTAAAGTCAGTGAACGATGTTCTACTGAAACAGTCCATAACACAGAAAACCTGCCTGAAGTGTAAAGTCACTGTCGTACACAAGGAGCAGGACAGATCCAGGGTAAAGTCAGTCCGTAAACAATGTTCTACTGAAACAGTCCATAACACAGAAAACCTGCCTGAAGTGTAAAGTTACTGTCGTACACAAGGAGAAGGACAGAGCCAGGGTAAAGTCAGTAAACAATGTTTTACTGAAACAGTTCATAACACAGAAAACCTGTCTGAAGTGTAAAGTTATTGTCGTACACAAGGAGGAGGACAGATCCATTTTCAAAGACTATTATGAATACAATAAATATGGAGTTCACATACTAATTTATACACAGAAACTGCCCCACGGCCATAAAAATTTATATTCAACAGTGCAAACATATAATTTAATCATCTGATTTATTTGATGGGTTCTTCTTACTAAACACAAATAACTACCTGGTTTTTTTCATATACATATATAACATATTTTTATAGAGAGAGAGATTCAACAATCTGTACAGTTTCTAAACATAAAACTTCTAAAAGGCACAATTGTCTATACAACATGTACAAAAATGGCTGGAGCTGACACAAAACAACAATTATTGGTCAAAAGTTCATGATTGCACAAAGATTAGTCATGAGTTTATGTCAGAAAAATGTGCTTTAAGGAAAAGAGGGTTTTCAAAGAAACCTTTAAGTGTTATTTAAAAAAATAATAAAAACTAAACCACTAGGTTGCTATCACAAGCCTGTCCTCGTCCTCGTCGCTGCTCCCGTCGCTGAACTGCACGGGGGGCTGCCTTTGGGGCGGAGCTGCGGGCCTGGACGCCGGTCTGTCCGTGGGTCTGTCCATCTGCGGGCCGGCCGGCTTGCCCACGGCTTCCGCCCGCACCCTCCGCAGGGGCTCTGCGGTGGCCGCCTGGCCCTGCCCGCGGCTCGGCTCAGGCCTGGGTCTGCCCTGACTCGCTGAGGCGGCCTTCTCGGGGTCCAGGGCACCTGAGCCATCGAGCCTCGCGCGGTCACCTGCGGGGGCGGGTGGACCCGGCCTGTTTTTTGCATTTTCCGGCTGGACTTGAGGTGACCCCTGAGGAGACTCGGTCCTGCTGACCTGCTGAGCGCTGGCCGCCGAAGTCTGCTTGGCTAGCGGCTCACACGCTTTGCTCTGGGAGGCCGGGCCGTCGGGGGCCACCTGGCCGACGGAGGGAATGAGCGTGGGCAGGGCGATGTTGAGGATCTGGAGGCCGGGGAGGTGCGCCTGCGGGGCGGGGCTGCTCTGCGACGAGGGCGTCCCGGCCAGGACCTGCAGGCCCACGGCGTTGAGCGCCAGCCCCGGGGGGTGCGCCTGCGGGGCGATGCTGGCGTTGGCCAGGCCCACGATGTTCACGGTCTCCATGCTCAGCGACGTGAGGGACGGCAGGCCCGGGGCGCTCAGGTTCTGCAGGCCGGGCACGCGGATCTGGCCGATGGGAATGCACGGCACGACGCCGCTCAGCTCCGCCACCCCCGCGGGATTTGTAGTGCTGGGAACTTCTGTGCCCGTGTCCCCAGGGGTGCCCACGGTTCTGTGAATGACACTGACAGCAGGAATTGTGAGCTGCACTGGCCCAGCCTGAATGGGCACAAACGTGGAGTAAGTGAGGCCGGCGGGCACCACGTGGATGCCCCCCACTGGCACCACGTTGTAGGGTGTCCTGGACGGCTGCTGGGAATGCAGGGGGAGGTGGCTAAACAAGTGCGTGTGGGCGGAAGGCAGGCCTGGTGGCGCGGGGAGGGCGACTTGTGGTGGTGACTTTTGTTCGTGAGCAGCCACGGTAGGAGCCCCTGGTGCAGGCTGAGCACTGAGCTCCACTGCAGCAGAAGGGAGTCTGGCAGATGACGTGTCCTGAAAGACAAGAGAGAATGATCCTTTGATGGCAGAGCTTTCTCAGCCACTAAGCTAAAACGCTAGTGCTCCACCTGTTCTTCTCAATGTGGTGAGAGTATGAACATTTGCATTTTATAACAATAAGCTTGCTCAAAATTACATTTTGAGTTTTAGAAATAAATGTCCATCTAAGAAATCTGCATCCTTAATGTCTTTCCTAGTACAAATAACAGGAACGTTTTGTATACAGCTTTGCATTTTTCAAACCAATTTCCTGTATTTCATCACAATTTCTATTGAGAATAACTGACAGGTGGCCACAGTTAAATTCCCAGTGCTGCGGCTGCTGTTATTCCCAGCACCGCCAACTCCGTCTCAGACTAGGAGCTGTCAGTGACTGTGAGATTAGTGCCCGTGAGCGCTAACTCACTCGGGAAAAATTAACCCTAACATTGTTCATGATGAAGCTGCCCCGGAAAGGCTGTTATTCACTCATATTTCCTCCTCGTTCCAAAGTTTTGGGAATATCTGCTGACACTGATTTCTAGGCCTGGTAGGTGCATGGGACACTTGGGGATGGAGAAGCTTAGAGCAGGGGTGACTGACACTTAAGTAAGGAAATGTTCACTGGAAGGGATCATGCCCATCCCTGTTCTGCCCAAGACGTCTATCTGAATATTAGCCTTTTCTTGACATTATCTATATTCTGGAGCTATATTGATTTATATATTGGCTTAATTTCTACATCAATGTAATTTAACTCAGACACTAACATAGTTGTGTAATTCTGGCTAGTCTGTAGAGGTCCGAGCTTTTACAGTCCTTTTGTTTGTCTTCAGTGTTAACCTACCAAACTGAGATCTATCCCACTTAGAAATAAATCCTGCTGCAACAACTGATACCCAGGAGTGGTGAAAGAACTACCCCTGTGACAAGAACGAGCCTTTCCCAGAGCTGACTACTGGCCGGTCACACCAGCCAGGTGGGAACACAGGCTGCACAGTCTGTAGTCCTCTGCGGGCCTGTGGCTGGCCTGCAGCTGCTCCTGGGAGCAGCTCTCCTGACCTGCCACGTGGCTTGGTCATTCAAGCCAAGTGAACTCCCTGACACATGTTCCGTCACTCTGACCTGAAAAATGGTGGCTGTTTTGCTAACGGGGCGCACAGTCCACAGCATTTGGATAACGTGGTCCAAGTCCATCACATCAATCTGGTGAAAAGATGATTTCAAGGAAACGTGGGACAAGTAAGTCCAAGGGTTCTGGTTCTGAGTTGGCCCATTCACAGTTTATTTCAAAAAGCAAATTAATAATAAATGGGTATATTTTTCAAGAGCCTTCACAGATTTACAACACAGTAGGTGAATGCTGACTTAAACACTTAACGAGACTCCAAAGGACACAAGTGACTTCTGCCATTAAATTAACACAAGAGTAAGCTGGTTTGGCCATAAATCACTCACAGGTGCCTTATTTCCTTAGGCTCTCCATGTGTAACGGGAAAAAGGGGGGGGGTACTAAAACGTACCTGTGTCACTGCGACAGTCCTTCCTGTCAGAGAGTTTTGCAGGGCTTCTGATTCAGGGTAGTCCACAGACATCTGACGGCAGGGGGACCTGGCTGCAGCCTCAGCTGACCTGGAAGGCTCGACGGGAGGACCTGTCTGGCCTTCATGCTTGGCGGCCTGCTGCGCGGGCTTGGCCGGAGAGTGTGTCCTCTGGTTGCGGTCGGACTGCATGGCGCTCAGCACGGTCATCTTGGTGAGCAGCGCTCTAGGCAGCACATCCATTGGGTCTGCATGTGCCCCTGGGCAGCACTCGGGCGTCCTGACCTCCTCGTCAGCGCTTGCGGAGTCCTGCAGGCCACTTCTAGCGGGAAGATGCTGCGGGCTGGCGGTGACAGAGGGAGCCGCGGACAGGCCCGACTCGGCCTGGCTGTCTTCATCGTCCTCTTCATTTTCGTTGTCATCTTCCTCAGGGCCGTCAGAGTCCTCAAGGTCACAGCCAGACCTCTCGTAGCTGAATCTCTGCTTCTCATCTGATGAGACAACCAAGAGTGCCGTTAGAGGGCTCTGCAGGCAGGCCGCCTTGTGGTCCAGAGCCGCGCAGCACTGGGGGTTGCCCACAGCACGCACGTCCCAGGCCTGGGCGACACGGAGAAGCAGTGGACACAACAGGGATTGAGAGGAGAAAGAGCTACGGGCAGTGGCAGGGTAGGGCAGGGCAGGCACGCGAGGAAGAGCACGGCAGGACCTCGAAAGCGGGATTCACCAGGCCGAGCCGAACAGAGTGGGAAGTGAAGCCTCAAAGGGTACACCTAAACACCCTCCAGCAGACGCTCCTGAGGGCACGCAGGGGACCGCTGAGTCCCCACTGCGCCCGCCCCTCTTCCTACTTCCTTGAACCTTCCTTTTACTAAACAAATTAAAAACACACAAAAAATTGATGGCTTTTAATTTCTGAGCCAAATAATTTCTTTAATCTTTGGCAGTTCTGTAGATGTTCCCTCTGTTCCCTGAGTAGAAATATTCTTCTGATAATCAAGCCACCTTCTCTTTTTTTAAAAAGTTTCCAAGAGAAGTGATAAATTTCCCGGTCATTTTTCCCTCTGATACGAGTTTTCACAGGAATTGGGACCCAGAGTCACAGCGTCAGGCGAGAGGGAGCTTAACACAGAATATTGGAGAAGGTCAGGGAGTTTCAGAGCCCGTCCTGGGGACTGGGTTAACAGCCCACCTCTTCAACAGGGGCTGCTCTTGGAGCCAGCCCAGCCCCCTTCCCTGACCCCGCCTCAACCCCGCCCCCGGGCCAGGGTGCGAGGAGGGCACTCCGCAGCCCCGTCTGCATCTGCACTCACAGCACCAGTGGCATCTGTGGCATCACCTCAGTCGGTTTCAGCCAACGACAGTCCAAAAGTATTAAAAATCCCAGAAACAGGTGCAGTTTGAACCTACATCACTCTGAGCGGCGTGACGCACCCCTGCTCAGCTGCACCTGCCACCTGGGGTGCACTGCCCCTGGTCGGCGTGTCCATGCTGCCCACGGTTCCCACCCTGTCCGTGGTTCAGCTCGAGGCCCGGGCACCACAGTGCTGGTGTGCCAGTAGGAGGCCAGCAGTGGCCCAGCCTGTGGGACGTGGCTCACACCTCCAGCCTGGTCCTACCTCCTCCCAGGGCGCGTGGCACCTCACCCTACAGGAAGGGAGCGGGCAGCAGGGGCCACGCAGACCACCCACAACCGTACACGCTGCAGCTGTGCGACCGAGCTCCTCTGGGTGCCACTGACTGGTCACCGTGCACATGGGGAAAACACAGGGCTCGGAGCCTTTTGTACCACCCGAGGTTCCAGGGACCCACCAAGGGTCTTGGGGAAGTATCCCCTGGGGATTGCCACAGTCTGGCTGGGCACACAATCACGAGCCACCACACAGCTTGTAGATTCAAACAGCAACTCTTTATTCCCGAACTCACACCAGCCGTCTACAATCACGTTCTGGGGAAATCCACGTTCTCTGCCCAAATCCACATCCACTGGGCTTCTATCTCCCAAAAATATACTGTCTGAATCCCGTGAGAACTCAAGGGGAACTCAGGCAGCAGGATACGCCCTATTCCCAGCAGGAATAATCTTAAATCTTAAACCTGGAACCTAAACTGGGAACGCCCTAAACAGGATTATCTTAAACCGGGAACACCCTAATCCGCCTTGGTCCTTGAGCAAGGTCACCTACATTCAATGTCACTGCAACATGGGGTATGCTGGCAAGGAAATTGTCATACCTACTTGGCTAATGGCTCCCAGCAGGGGATGAGAGGGGAACCACTGCCATTTTTTAAAAAGGGAAAAAAATGCAAAGAGGAGAAAAAAAGAACAGGCATTTTTCCTGGCTTTCCCAAATACTAACTTCAGTATCCTTTATACACGGCAAAGATACATTCTTAGAGAAAAGTCTCAAAGAATGCCTAGCCCCAAACATTTGAAGACAATCATTTCTAGGCAATGGAAAGAACTAGAATTTTCATGTTATTTACCATGCATATGTGTTAGTTTCTAATTAAAATATTCAAAGATAAAACATTTTAAGTTCCCTTAATATGAGACTTTATGTGCCTTTTGCTTTCAGGCACCTACTATTATGTTATTAAATAAGTAAATTTACAAAATAATATCAGTGTTCTGCATCCCGCCAGGGGCTGTGCTGGGGATGCCACCGGGTGGGTTTGGGTGTGTGCGTGGACTCCCAGGGCCTCAGATGCCTCTTCTCTGGCATCTTGTCTGACGTTTAAAATTCTAAAATTGGCACGTCATCCTCAATTTGACTTGGATTAGCCTGTTGGTGCCAGAGGAAATACTATTTTTAGGGGGAAGCAGAAAAGAGCAGGGAGCCGGATGACTGGAGCTGGTCACTGGGGACGGCTAACTTCATCAGAGGCCAGCCTTGCTGCAAAGTCCACCCGGAACGGGTCTCGCTTACCTTGAAAACTACTGCTTTAGAAACACAAAAGGGTAGGCCCACTTCGAATCTATGACATTTCCCAATTCCACAGGAAAGCTGAGGTCCTAGAGAATCAGCTGAAAGGGGAGTTTCAGCAGGAAAAGCAGCAAGATTGTCACCTGGGGCACAGGCAACAGGACACTGGCAGCAGAGTTCAGCTAGCAGGGTCAACAGAACAAACAGCTGGCTAGGGCACCTGGGAGCTGTCGGGACCTGCGGGCGCCCCGGGGGCTCTTGCAGGCATTACGTCATGAACCCCTCCAGCCCCCGTCACAGGGGAGAGCACTAAGCAGTGTCCACTGATGTCAGATCTGGAGGAGGAGAGCAGCAGCCTTGCAGGAGAGGCCAAGAACTTCACCCTCTCCGATAGGGAACAGGAGCCTCACCCGGCAAGGGGAAGGGTACCAGACACCGAGGTCCTCAGGACATGGTGAAAACTCACGGCAATGGGGACAGGAGCAGGAAAAGACACGGTTCAGCTCCCAGGGAGGGCAGCACTGGGAAAGCCGAGGCCCGGAAACACGAGAAGGTAGTGAATGTCTAGACAGAGGCTCAGGCAGAACAGAGGCGGCACGGCCTTCCCTCCGCACCCTCCCCAGGTGCCAAGTTGAGGGCTCTGAGGAACAGACAGCTGGGAGCAGACAGGCGAAGAGCAAGAGGGTACAGAGAGACTGCCCTGTCCCTAAGGTGCAGTGCAAAGGGAAGACCCGAAACCAGAATGCCGGAGACGGCGCTCCTGTAACCAACCCACCCAAAACACAGGGCCCCGCGGGGACTTGAAGCCTCTGCAGCGAGGACAGGCACAGCAGCAAGGCTCTCAGAGACTCCCGCGTCTGAGGAGAAAAGGCATTCCCAGGGCTCTCCACCGTCGGACGCAATGTCCAGCTTCCAACACAGAATCACAGGCACGCAAAGAGGGGAGGAAAAGCAGACTAAGAACCAGAGTCATGCATGACTGAGACATCAGAGCTGCCAGGGACGCTGAAACAATGACGATGAGTATGTCCAAGGCTCTCACAGGAAAGGTGGACAGCAGGCCATATCAGGGGGACTCTCAACGGAGAGATGGAAACTATTAAGAAGAATGAAGAAAATGCTCCAAAGGAAAAACACAGTAATGACAACGAGGAAACTGCCCAGCTCAGGATCCTGTGCCCTCCGCAAATAAATTGTACTATTCGCCTTAAAGAGGAATGAAATTACTGCATTTGATGGTAAATGACGGAAATGGAAAACATCATGCTAAGTGAAATATGCCCATTCCAGAAAACCAAAGGCTGACTTCTCTTTAACATGTGGATGCTAACTCACAGTATGGGGTGCGGGTAGGAAGAAGAGAAGTTCACTGGATTAGACAAACGGGAAGGAAGGGAAGGGAGGAAAAATGGGAACAGGAAAGACAGTAGAATGAATCGAATATAACTCTCCTTGTACATATAGGAATACACGACCAGTGTAATTCTACAGCCATGTGTAACTAATAAGCACACGCGTGGGCGCGCACACACACATACACACACACACAAAAGATAAAAGAGAAATAGAGAATTCTCCCCACTGCTGACAGAAATGTAAGTGCCAGAACTGCAACTTTGGAAAAGTGTGGCAATTTCTTCTCAAGCTAAAACATGTACCACTCTATAACCCAAAGATCCCAGCTGTCAAACTCCAGAGACAGATGACTCTGGCCGGCACAGAAGAATCCCATGAACACACTCAGGGGGGTGGGGAAGGAAGGTTCTGTGGAGCCTAAGCAAGTAAGTCTGGCTGTGCACTAGGAAGGCCAAGGGCAGGCTGCCCTGCTCACGCGGCTCTGCAGCTGCAAGCCTGCTTCTGACAGGGGGCTTATTCAGGACTCCTAGAACTGGGTCATATGTGGTCAATTATAGATGAGAAGCAGGTTTTCCATTTTGGGTAAAAGAAGTTAAAAAGAAGGAAATGGAGAAGGCTAAGCTTTGCTGTGTGGACTAGACCTGGAAGAACTGGTATGGACTCAGACTTCAGTCACACATGATGTGTGTGTGTGTGCACACGTGTGTGCACATTACATGCACGTGAATGCTGGTGTGCATACATGTATTTCCTAGCTCTACCCAGTGCATGGGCTAGAAGCGGGCACAGGTCAGTAGCAATGAGTACACACCAGCAAGTGCCTGGATCTTGCTTTCTAAATACCTCCCTCTAGTCAAAGGAGCCAGGAGTCCTTAAGAGAAATGGTCGACAACAGGGCTGGAATATCTTGGGATGTCAGAAAGTAAGGGATTTCTTAAGCAATAAAAAGACACATTGGAAGGACCAGGAATAGACCTCAAAGTGCTCTCCATGGCAAAGGCCAACGCTGGAACCTGAGCCAGGCAATAAATAACAATGATACTGAATTATGACGCAAAGAATAAAACATGCATCCGCAAGCCCACACTGATAAAAATGAATGAATGAAGGGCAACTGTTCCTTACAGAAAAATTTTGATCAATAAATTAGAACACCATAGTAACACCACCAACAAGACCCATCAACAAATAAACAGGGTATTTGCATGGTC